TTAAGAAAAAAAATGTCATGAAAAACCTAGGGGTAAGACAGGAATAGAGACACAGACCTACTAGAGAATGGACTTGAGGATATGGGGAGGGGGAAGGGTAAGCTGTCACAAAGCGAGAGAGAGGCATGGACATATATACACTACCAAACGTAAGGTAGATAGCTAGTGGGAAGCAGCCACATAGCACAGGGAGATCAGCTCGGTGTTTTGTGACCGCCTGGAGGGGTGGGATAGGGAGGGTGGGAGGGAGGGAGACGCAAGAGGGAAGAGATATGGGAACATATGTATATGTATAACTGATTCACTTTGTTATAAAGCAGAAACTAACACACCATTGTAAAGCAATTATGCTCCAATAAAGATGTAAAAAAATAAAATAAATAAAATTATTATGCATAAATGAAAAAAAAAAGAAAGGTGAGAAGGGGCTTCCTGAATCAGATATGTAAAAAGAGATACTAAAAGCTATAATATTATAATAATATGGTACTGACATACCAATATGCAAGTAGACAATAGAACAAAATAAGTAGCTCAGAAGTAGACAAGGTGTATGGGAACTTGATATTGATAAAGATGGCACTATAAAACAATGAGGAAGGACAGGTTTTTTGTGGGGTTTTTTGCAGTATGTGGGCCTCTCACTGTTGTGGCCTCTCCCGTTGCAGAGCACAGGCTCCAGACACGCAGGCTCAGCAGCCATGGCTCACGGGCACAGCCGCTCCGAGGCATGTGGGATATTCCCGGACCGGGGCACGAAGCCGTGTTCCCTGCATCGGCAGGAGGACTCTCAACAACTTCGCCACCAGGGAAGCCCTATTTTTTAAAAAGCGATTGGTGGGACTTCCCTGGCGGTACAGTGGTTAAAACTGTGCTTGCACTGCAGGGAGCTCGGGTTCAATCCCTGGTTGAGGAACTAAGATCCCACATGCCATACAAGTGCAGCCAAAAAAAAAAAAAAAAAAAGAGAGAGAGAGAGAGTGGTGAAAAAATGGCTTCAAATATGAAGAAAAATAAAGCAGAATTCCTACCTTACAACTTAGAGAGGAATTCCACATGAATTCAAGATATAAGTATAAAAAAACTAGGAAGCTAATGAAAGAAAATGTTGGGGAATAGTTGTGATATAGTGATGAGGAAAGGCTAAAACCCCACATATCAAAAGGTTAGAAAATGTGATGGATTTAAGTATATCAAAATGAAGAATTTCTGCTCAATGAAGGACAGATTACAAACTTGAAAAACATAATTGCAATATTTAAAGTTGACAAGAAACAAACATACAGAAGTCCTGAAAGCAATTAAATGATACAGGAAATCCAAAGAAAATGAGCAAAGTTTCTCAATAAGTAATAAGGGGAAATGTGAGTTGTTACCAAGTATTTACAGAGATGCTTCATTAGTAATCAGAGAGATGCAAATGAAACAATGAGTTACCACTTGAGCCTGATAAAGATGGAAAACATTAGAAAGTTGGGTAATACCAATTTTGGTGAGGATGCGGGGAAATGGGAACTATAGACTATAATCCATTACTGCTGGGGGTATAAAAGGCACAGCCATTCTAGGAAACAATAGTGAAGTACATACAGTCAGTTCTCATTATTTGTGGTAGTTATGTTCTATAAAGTCCCTGTGAATACACTCACACTCACTCTTCTAGGGGGAGTACAAGATTAATTTCCTGTGAGCCTCTGGTCACAACATTTTCGTCAACAAATGTGATCAAATACATAACCTTGTTTTATGCGTGTTTCTGATTGACATATATACACTACTATATATAAAATAGATAACTAATAAGAACCTACTGTATAGCACAGGGAACTCTACTCAATACGCTGTAATGACCTATATGGGAAAAGAATCTACAAAAGAGTGGATATATGTATATGTATAACTGATTCACTTTGCTGTACAGCAGAAACTAATACAATATTGTAAATCAACTATGCTCCAATAAAAATTAATTTTAAAAACCCTCATTTAGTGTATATTGTTGATTCATTAACATTGAACTCATGGCCAACAGCACTGTAACTCATGCCTGAATGAAGCTTATCTAACACATGTATTTTCTCCAGAAGGCACATCACAGACTTTTCATGCCTAGGAGCCCTAGACACCACTTGAGCTCCATGCTTGGGTACCAACTTAAACAGGGAAATTACCAAAAACTAACAAAAATGCTAAAAACATGGCAAAAATAGATCATGGAAAGGACACCTGTCCACAGTATGAGTTGAAACAAGAGGGCAGAGTGTTGCCTTGTTAGACCTCAATTGGGAACATGCACATGGTGACTCAGATATTTTGCTGCTCTGGGCGTGTCCCTGAGTGATCCTGAAAGTGTCATGAGTATTGGTTTTAGGGTTAGTGAGTAAGCAAATATACAAATACAGAATCTGCAGATAATGAAGAGGGACTATGTTTAGGTAAAGTTAATGCACACCCATGACTAACCCGTTTGACTCCCTGTTCCATATTTCAGGGAGAATTCTCCATGGATTCATACAAGGACATACACAAGGACATTTATCAAGACAGTGATAGCAAAGAGTTGGAGGCAATTAGGTGTCCTCCACTAGAAAAGTGAAATGTAATGAAATCATACTATGGAGTATCAGTAGGAACCAATGAAACTAGATCTATAAATAGCAACACAGACAGATCTAAAAAACAGAACTGAGTGAAAATGTAAGAAGTAACATAACTCTTTTTATGTCAATTAAACGTGTACATACATGCACACAACAACACTACCTACTTTTCAAAGATACGCTTATACTTAAGGACATACAGCAAATGCATCAGAGTGGGTGCTTAAGTGAGAAAGGGGAATGGAATGGGAATTGGGAGGTTGGAGCTAAAGGGGAAGATAAAACAAGCAAGGAGCCTACACAGACTAATAGATACAATGAGCTCAGAACTCTTTTCTCCAATGTTCATTTTCTCTAATGTTCAAAAATTTAAAAAGTTCCATGATGGGGGAATTATAAAGTGCTAAGGGGACACATACAAAGGGCATCTACCTCACTTTTCAGGGTGAGTTACCAGGGCCAGTTCCCCTGAAAAAGTGATGTTTCAGGAGAAGCCTGACTAAGATTTCAGCTGAAATGGACAAAGAGGAAGAGGGCTTCAGGAAGAGAGAAGAGTGAGTTATTGGTGAGAATGAGAAGTTGGTGTGTTTGGGAAATTGAAAGAAGTTCAGAATTGCCATGAGGGTAGCAATGATGAGATGTGAGGTCAAAGAAGTCATTTAGGGCCAGATCATTGAGAGCCTTTAAGTTATATTGAAGGTGGTAAGGTGACCAGGTTTGTATGTCAGAAAACCCATTCTGGCCATTTATGAAATGGAGGGTGGGCAGAGGGATGAGGGGAGAGACTGTTGTGCTCATTCAGGAGACAGAAGGTGGTAACATCTGCACCAGGGTGGATGAAGTGTAATGGAGAGGAGTGGACACAGTCTACAGATATTTGAGATGAAATTTCCCAGTCTCACTCAAATCTTCACAACAACTACCTGACACAGATAGGGCCACGACCCCCCTAAGTGTACCAGGTTTCAAATGCCTGCTTTCCCACCCCACTTTTTTTTTTAATAGATCTTTATTGGAGTACAATTGCTTCACAATACTGTTAGTTTCTATTGCACAACAAAGCGAATCAGCCATATGCATACACATGTCCCCATATCCCCACCCTCTTGAGCCTCCCTCCTACCCTCCCTATCCCACCCCTCTAGGTGGTCACAAAGCACCGAGCCGATCTCCCTGTGTTACGCTGCTGCTTCCCACCAGCCAACTATTTTACATTCGGTAGTGTATGTATGTCGATGCTACTCTCACTTCGCCCCAGCTTTGCCCTCCAACCCCATGTCCTCAAGTCCATTTTCTATGTCTATCTCTTTATTCCTGCCCTGAAACTAGGTTCATCAGTACCCTTTTTTTTTAGATTCCATGTATGTGTGTTAGCATATGGTATTTGTTTTTCTCTTTCTGACTTACTTCACTCTGTATGACAGACTCTAAGTCCACCCACCTCACTACAAATAACTCAATTTCATTTCTTTTTATGACTGAGTAATACTCCATTGTATATATGTGCCACATCTTCTTTATCCATTCATCTATCAATGGACATTTAGGTTGGTTCCATGTCCCAGCTATTGTAAATAGTGCTGCAATGAACATTGTGGTATATGTCTCTTTTTGAATTATGGTATTCTCAGGGTATATGCCCAGTAGTGGGATTGCTGGGTCATATGGTAGTCCCATTTTTAGTTTTTTAAGGAACCTCCATACTATTTTCCATAGTGGTTGTATCAATTTACATTCCTACCAACAGGGCAGGAGGGTTCCCTTTTCACCACACCCCTTCCAGCATTTATTGTTTCTGGATTTTTTGATAATGGCCATTCTGACCAGTGTGAGGTGATACCTCATTGTAGTTTCGATTTGCATTTCTCTAATAATTAGTGATGTTGAGCATCTTTTCATGTGCCCCTTGGCCATCTGTATGTCTTCCTTGGTGAAATGTCTATTTAGGTCTTCCGCCCATTTTTTAACTGGATTGTTGTTTGTTTGTTTGCGGTATGCGGGCCTCTCACTGTTGTGGCCTCTCCCATTGCGGAGCACAGGCTCCGGACGCGCAGGCTCAGCGGCCATGGCTCACGGGCCCAGCCGCTCCGCGGCATGTGGGATCTTCCCGGAGCGGGGCACGAACCCGTGTCCCCTGCATCGGCAGGCGGACTCTCAACCACTGCGCCACCAGGGAAGCCCTATTTGATACTTTTAAGAAGATACTTTTTACATTTTATCTGACATTCTTATTTCTTTCCACAAAAGAGTTGGTATCATTATGTAGCTTATTCATGTAAAGGGAAGCCCCAGTGATGTACTTTTGGCCCTGCTATAAGTCATTCTTTCCTTCAAAAAACATTTTTGATGGCATTCTCTCTTCTTAGCACACAGGTATCCTGGGAGCAGGATTAACTACATCTAAGGGTCAAGGGTCCCAGAATGCCCTGGGTCTTGGGGACATGTTATTTTGGTGATGGCTGCTTTGACATCCTTGTTCCTCAGCGTGTAGATGAGAGCGTTGAGGACAGGTGTGAGAATAGCATGCACCACGTTGCCCATGATGTGGAAGTCAAGGGGTAGGTCAGCCCTGTAGGCCACATAGGCTATGGCAATGGATGAGTAGTAGGTGCCAACCAGGAGGTGGGAGCTGCAGGTGGAGAAGGCTTTTGAGCGTCCTTCTCGGGAGCTGATGCGAAGCACTGAGGCCAGGATGTGGGCATAGGAAAGAAGCACCAGGAGAAGGGGCAGGAAGGACACCACCACGGTGATGCAGAAGCCCATGAAGGTCTGGGGCATGGTGTCAGAGCAGGAGGCCTGGACCGCAGCCAAGTGGTCACAGAAGCAGTGGTAGATGTGAACAGTGTTGTTAAAAGCCATGTGGAAGGTCTGCAGCACTGCTGGGATGGGCAGAAGGAGGGCAGTGAGCCAGGCACTGGTTGCCAGTCAGCACTGGTCTGTGGGGTCATGAGGACAAGGTAGTGCAGTGGGCGGCAGATAGCCACATAGCGGTCATAGGCCATGACCACCAGGATGAAGGCTTCAGAGCAGGAGAATCTGTGGGAAAGGTACATCTGCAGGAAGCAGGCAGAGAAGCCGAGGTAGTGGTCCCCGAGGAAGAGGAGAGATAGCATCTTTAGGACAGTGGATGTGGTGAAGAGGATGTCCAGGGCTGAGAGGTTGATCAGGAAGAAGTACATGGGCTGTGGAGTCTGGGCTCTGCCACCACGGCCACCAGGATCAGGGTGTTACCCACCAGGATAAGCAGTTAGAAGGACAAGAAGATGAAGGAGACAGGGAGGAAGAGGAACTCCTGTAGAGAGGGGATGCCCACCAGGTAGAAGATGGGTGAAGAGTCTTTTGATCCATTACAGGCTGTGGCATCCATGGTGGGACAGAGCTACATGCCAGGGTGACAGGCAGTCAGAGCATCTGGAAACTGGATAAAACAGGAGTTTGGAAGGAGAATTCCGTACAGTTCACTCTACAATTAATGCAATCCAAATCATTTATGACCAAGTTTAGAGGACTGGGGGTACCATCCAATATTAACTCTTCCATCTTAATGCACAATTTACTCCTTCCTTCTTCCATCAACTCTTTAGTAAGTATCTACAATGTGCAAGGCTGTGAGAAGGAAACAAGGCACACAAGGCCCCTGCCTTCACAGGGGCTTAAATTCTAGTAGGAGGATGGTATGTTTAAAAGCCAATCACACATTTAATTATCTAGTTACAACTGTGATAAGTGCATTCAAAGAGCTTCTGTCCCTTCTCTGCTCCATTTCCCACACTATCTCTTGGGCATCAGATCTTAGATGATCTCCTAGATTCCTACTTTATTGTTTTTAGTTTTGCTCTTGTTTCAAGTTCTACTACTAAGTGACATCACTATACCACATCACTAGAAAGGGCTGATTTTTCCAATATTTTCTGCTACATGCTGCCTACTCAGGCTACTCATTACCCAGGGAATGTCACCCTCTCATTTTCCGGGTGCAGCAGCTCTGCCTGCCTCTCTCCCTGCCAAGTTCTCTGGGTGCTCTCCCACCCAATGATGTTTCAGTGATGGGAAGGACAAATGCCTTCAGAGGGACAACTCTCTTCCTGATGGAGCCCAAGCTGATGGTGCATCTTCCCCTCATTTAGGGCATGTCCTGGGTCTGTCATCTTCCTTCTTCCTGGCTGCCACAGCCCAACGGGTATTGTGTTTAATTCTTTGATGCCAACTCTGCTGTGGGCTCCTCCAATACCAACTCAGAAGAAGCCACAAGGAGATGTCGTGAGAGCTCTTGCTGCTAGAAAGGACCCAGAGAACTGAAAGCTGTAGCTGCCCAAATACAAAACCCCCTATATCATAGGTTGTTCATTAAATGTGTGCTGGGGTCAATGCAGGGACTGGTAAGGCAGTTTTGGCTTGTCCCGCCTTCAGGATGATCCTCTAATGAGTGGTCCAGGCAGTTTCATGTTTACATCGGCATCACTGCTGTTTGAACCCTGTTGATTTCACAAGCGGTTTCTCTTTGAATTCCTAGGAATGACAGCTACCTTCTTTCTTTTCTAAAACAAATGCAGAACAAACTTGTTAAAAACACCTCTCGTGTCCTAGAATTACAGAATGTCAGACTGGAAAAAAAGGTTTTTGTAGTCTTCAATTCCAACCCAATTCCCCTCCCCCACACTTCCTCACCACCTTTTAAAAATTTACTAGTTTGCTCTGTGATTGATCTGGGTCGTGCAGCCTGGCTTCTAGATTTGGAAGTGGTGACTGGCAAATGCTTTGTCTAAAATGAGCATGGGAAGAACAACCGTCCTGTGTGTGTGCTCCTTGAAAGAGAACCTCAGAGCTCACCCTGAGGACCTGGCAAGAGAGTGACCTGATTGTCTCCATGTTGAAGGGTTAACCCTCAGTTAACCAGAACCCCGTTCCAACAAGTGTGGTCACCAGGTTTTTTTTCACACCCAAAGGGATGCCAACTGCACTGCCCTGGACATTTCTGCTCTCAGAGAGGCAGTGGTAGCTGCCGGTCCCAGGTGAGGCAGAGCAGGGGATTTGAGGGGCAGAAACGTAGAGGGCTGAAGCCAGAGGGGTCCTAAGGGAGTCATCAAGTCTAACTCCCCTCTCCTCCATCCTCTGCCCCACTGCTTTGCAGATGGAAAAAGGGATGCTGAGACCCCAGTGGAGAGGTGGCACATGGCTTTTCACACCAACTGGTACTGGACTGTCCAACAGGCAGACCAGGCATGTGATGGGTCACCAGCCAAGCAAGAGAACCAAAAATACTTTTTGAAAGAATTTAACATTTAATCTTTCAAAGCACCATTCAGTTGGCCCATCATAGGAAATACCCAGATTTGGCTGGACTCTCTTACACTATTTTACAGGTTAGGATTACACACTACATCTGAATGATGTAGACGTGCTTAGGGCCTAATGGGTGCTGTTTCCTAGGGCACAGAACTTGCCCCAGAAGGTTCCCCCTGTTGGGATTGTTTACAGGCCAGTTATAGTGCTTGGTGGGGACAGGGAAGGACAGAAAATCACTGAGTGTCCAACCTGATGCTGCATTTTTTTTTACTGGATGATTTAATATACCCTTTTGAGAATGTAAGAAGCCAGTTACACAGAAAACCAAATATATAGCAATAACATAAAAGATTTAAATAATGCATCATCAAAAGCTTAAATGTTTGTGTGTAAAAATGTTACATGTATGCAATTTTCATCTCTATAGATAATGCACATTTTTCTTTTATCCATACTTCCCTTACAAATACCTATCATATACTTTATTACAATACTCTTATTTAGTTCCACAGGGTAGATATTTTATGTTAAAATTTGATGAAACTTAAAAATCAAGAATGGAAACATGATCAAAGGAGATATACACTTTCTTTTTTCAGAAAGGAAGAAATATTGTTCTTATTAAGTTATGATCACTTCTTTTTTTTCTTTTTTCTTATTAGTCATCAATTTAATACACATCAGTGAATACATGTCAATCCCAATCGCCCAATTCATCACCCCCCCTCCCCCCACCACTTTCCCCCCTTGGTGTCCATACGTTTGTTCTCCACATCTGTGTCTCAATTTCTGCCCTGCAAACCGGTTCATTGGTACCATTTTTCTAGGTTCCACATATATGCGTTAACATACAATATTTGTTTTTCTTTCTGACTTACTTCACTCTGTATGACAGTCTCTAGATCCATCCACGTCTCAACAAATGACCCAATTTCGTTCCTTTTAATGACTGAGTAATATTCCATTGTATATATGTACCACACCTTCTTTATCCATTCGTCTGTCAGTGGGCATTTAGGTTGCTTCCATGACCTGGCTGTTGTAAATAGTGCTGCAATGAACATTTTGGTACATGACTCTTTTTGAATTATGGTTTTCTCTGGGTATATTCCCAGTAGTGGGATTGCTGGGTCATATGGTAATCCTATTTTTAGTTCTTTAAAGAACCTCCATACTGTTCTCCATAGTGGCTGTATCCATTTACATTCCCACCACCAACAGTGCAAGAGGGTTCCGTTTTCTCCACACCCTCTCCAGCATTTGTTGTTTGTAGATTTTCTGATGATGCCCATTCTAACTAGTGTGAGGTGATACCTCATTGTAGTTTTGATTTGCATTTCTCTAATAATTAGTGATGTTGAGCATCTTTTCATGTGTTTGTTGGCAGTCTGTATGTCTTCTTTGGAGAAATGTCTATTTAGGTCTTCTGCCCATTTTTGGATTGGGTTGTTTGGTTTTTTGATATTGAGCTCCACGAGCTGCTTGTAAATTTTGGAGATTAATCCTTTGTCCGTTGATTCGTTTGCAAATATTTTCTCCCATTCTGAGGGTTGTCTTTTCATCTTGTTTATGGTTTCCTTTTCTGTGCAAAAGCTTTAAAGTTTCATTAGATCCCATTTGTTTATTTTTGATTTTATTTCCATTACTCTAGGAGGTGGATCAAAAAAGATATTGCTGTGATTTATGTCAAAGAGTGTTCTTCCTATGTTTTCCTCAAAGAGTTTTATAGTGTCCGGTCTTACATTTAGGTCTCTAATCCATTTTGGGTTTATTTTTGTGTACAGTGTTAGGGAGTGTTCTAATTTCATTCTTTTACGTGTAGCTGTCCAGTTTTCCCAGCACCACTTATTGAAGAGTCTGTCTTTTCTCCATTGTATAACCTTGCCTCCTTTGTCATAGATTAGTTGACCATAGGTGCGTGGGTTTATCTCTGGGCTTTCTATCTTGTTCCATTGATCTATGTTTCTGTTTTTGTGCCAGTACCATATTGCCTTGATTAATGTAGCTTTATAGTATAGTCTGAAGTCAGGGAGTCTGATTCCTCCAGCTCTGTTTTTTTCCCTCAAGACTGCTTTGGCTATTCGGGGTCTTTTGTGTCTCTATACAAATTTTAAGATTTTTTGTTCTAGTTCTGTAAAAAATGCTTTTGGTAATTTGATAAGGATTGCATTGAATCTGTAGATTGCTTTGGGTAGTGTAGTCATGTTCACAATATTGATTCTTCCAGTCCAAGAACATGGAATATCTTTCCATCTGTTGGTTTCATCTTTAATTTCAGTGTCTTATAGTTTTCTGCATACAGGTCTTTTGTCTCCCTAGGTAGGTTTATTCCTAGGTATTTTATTTTTTGTTGTAGTGGTAAATGGGAGTGTTTCCTTAATTTCTCTGTCAGATTTTTCATCATTAGTGTATAGGAATGCAAGAGATTTCTGTGCATTAATTTTGTATCCTGCAACTTTACCAAATTCATCGATTAGCTCTAGTAGTTTTCTGCTGGCATCTTTAGGATTTTCTATGTACAGTATCATGTCATCTGCAAAGAGTGACAGTTTTGCTTCTTCTTTTCCAATTTGTATTCCTTTTATTTCTTTTTCTTCTCTGATTGCCATGGCTAGGACTTCCAAAACTATGTTGAATAATAGTGGTGAGAGTGGACATCCTTGTCTTGTTCCTGATCTTTGAGGAAATGCTTTCAGTTTTTCACCATTGAGAATGATGTTTGCTGTGGGTTTGTCGTATATGGCCTTTATTATGTTGAGGTAGGTTCCCTCTATGCCCACTTTCTGGAGAATTTTCTTAATCATAAACAGGTGTTGAATTTTGTCATAGGCTTTTTCTGCATCTATTGGGATGATCATATGGTTTTTATTCTTCAATTTATTAATATAGTGTATCATATTGATTGATTTGCATGTATTGAAGAATCCAGGCATCCCTGGGATAAATCCCACTTAATCATGGTGTATGATCCTTTTAATGTGCTGTTGGATTCTGTTTGCTAGTATTTTGTTGAGGATTTTTGCATCTATATTCATCAGTGATATTGGTCTGTAATTTTCTTTTTTTCTAGTGTCTTTGTCT